TAAATATGCAAATTCTCGATATTCATAGTGATTGTTATTATTATTATTATTATTATTATTATTATTTTCGATCTGTATAAGTGATTGTTAGCCATAATTTTTGGGATTGCAGGATCATTTCAAAACCATTTAAAGCTATTTGATATATATTTATATCAAATTTTTGAAAAGTGAAATATATTTTCTATATTATCTCTACTAATTTAATGGATTGAAATGAATCTATTATTAATTCACACACTGTTTATTTGAAATCACGGAACTAACTGAGCAAATTTCTTGGTTCACAAATTTTAAAGATTTACATGTACAATTTAAAGAACTAGTAAAGTGCACGTGCATCGCACGTGGTGGCGAATAGTTTTTGCCGATTAAATTTAGTAAAATAGATTAATTTAGGTTGCAATTTAATCATTCAACAATTAATCTCTCATACTATTACACAATTTATTCTTTTATAGGTTAATTTGAAAAATAATGTTTCTATACTTTGTGGTCGTTATGAGAACAAAAAGAACCGATTTCAAGTTTTTTTACTTAAAGGTATTAATGAACTTACAAAATTAAATAAATATTACTGGAACAATTATCTTATTTGATATGATACTTACGGTCAAGTAAACTCTCAAATGTCATTGAGAAAATCATAAAATTATTAAAAAATCTTACGATAATATCACTATTTAAAATATTCAATATAATAATTTTTATTCTCGTTGTTTATTTAGCACCTATCTTAGTTTTTTTTTTTTTGCCAAAACGATAGAAGATATTATATAACAAAAGGCACAAATGTGCAAATACAAGCAGTCCAAGGCTGAAAAGTGGGAGGACAGGTCATGAGACCGCCTAGAAACCCGGCTAGCAAAAGCTAGAACAGAAACTCAAAACTAAAACAACTAGACACGACCCCCAAGGGGTAATACAACAATACAACTCAAACAACACAACAACAACACACGACCCCCACAGGGTAATCTCCGAGTGTCGGACCCCCACAGGGTAATAAATTTGACACCCGGATGCACCGAGGCAACCGCCCAAACCTAAAACACAAACACAAATACACCGAGGCCGACGGCCCAAACCAAAACACAAATACAAACACAAGAACAGAAACAGACACAAATCAAAATAAAAAAACCTATACTACTAACTAATAAGGCCCTTCCCCAGAGAAAAGCTAAAACCGACCCAAAGCACCAGCAAAAAAGACTAACATCCTACAACTTGACCCAAAATCCGGAACGCCGCTCCCGCCACTGCCTAATGCCTAGCAAGGAACAAGTGCCGAACCTCAAACCAAGCCAAGAATGAAGCCGACCCAAAGCCAGAGGAATATCACCCCGTCCACTTGCCAGCAACCCAAGACCCGACCAACACCACTGGCCTAGGTTCGGGTGTACCGGCATCCCAAAACCGCAACACCAGCGGAAAGGGGAGCAGAGGGCAAGAATCGAAACCCCTCAGCCCCCGGCCGCCTCAACTCAGACGGGCCGAGCCGCCAGGGCCGCACCCAAAACCCGAACCACGCACCTCCTGCAGCAATCGGACCCAAACCGGAGGAGAAGCCGTCGAACCCGCCATCGACCACCATCCCAAGACAGAGCCGACAGTAGAAAGCTGGAAAATCACCGTCGGGGCCGAGAAACGTACCCAAATCGAAAGTGGAGCCGTGGAACCCGTCGTCTGAAGCCGAACATAGACGGAATCGACAAAGAGATTTTGAGAACCTACCTGCGACGGCGGCGATCTCCAGTAGAACAGCCCCGGCCGACGAAACTGAAATCATCTCCGAAGGGCGAGAACCGTGAAGGAAACGCACAAATCAGGCCATGGGGGTGCTGCTACGGGTCATCCACCGGCCGAAGGTCGGCTGTTCGCCGGGGAAGGCAAGGAATTGACAGCGGCGAGAGAAAGATTTGGGGGAGAAGGGTTATAGAGAGAGAAAATCTTTAGCTTTTACCTATCTTAGTTCAAATAAGTAATTATGATTAAAATATTATGATATATTTTAGTTAATTATTTAACTAAAAATTTAAATATTTTAAGTGTTAATAATTAAAATATTGATTACTTTGATATTAACCACCTAATGGTCAGATGAAGATTCGTTAACTTTAGTGACCTTGTGACCAAAATTGAAACAAACAAACAAACAAATGACGATTTTTGTGGGATCAAAATCTAATCCAATAAAACGAAGGTTTAATTTCTATATTAATTTAAAATAAAAGAGATTATTTTCTTAAATATTGAAGTAGTTAAATCAATTGTTCACTTTTTTAGTTTGTTGGATTATGTATATATTTAACGGTGGATGATTTCATTAAAATTATAGGTATCTTCTCTTAATTAATGTTAAGTATGTATCTTTAGAATTATTATTATATACAAGTTACCCCTCAATTAAGTTGTCATTTTTTACAAAGATTTATCGTTTGTTAAAATTGTAAATAAATAGTTAAAAATATTTAGATTCTTTATAAGTATTTATTATGCTATTTTAAGTAGTTCATTTTTTAGTTAATAATATAAAGTAAGATGAGTATTACTGCATTACTAAATGATCATTAAAAATATGTGAAAGTAAGGGTGTTTTTAGACTGTACTTTACATTTTTATATAAAGTTACGGAAAAATTCAGATATTTGTTTCAAATATTTTCCAATATATGTCCAATAATTAATAAGGGAAAAACAGTTCCAAATAAATTATAATTAAATTATTAATTTTTAAAAGGCCAAATGCTTATAAACTTTTGATAATTTACTTTTAGCAAACTCTTTCTTGTGTAATGAAAAAAATAAAAATAAACAATAAATAAATGAAACGATAAATAATTTTTTCCAAAACTCATTACCATTATAGTCCAAATTTGAGATCCACTAAGTTGAATCACACATTCACACTACAAACTGTATGCTGGCGCATGCTCATGAGGAAGACAATAAATAGACAGGATTCAATGAAACTTTTTTTCGGTACAAACAAAATTCAATGAATTTAATTTAGAACAAAGAGTATGAAACGATTTGTATGGGGTGGAGATTGGATATATACCAACACTTAATTGATAAATATATTTTAGAGTTCTTTTATCTTAAATTACTATATATAATTACAATTTTGTCACTAAAAATATATCAAATATAAGGGTTTTTTAGTCCGTTCAATTTTTTACACGATTTACACAATATATTTCTCAAATAAATTTTTTTAACTGAATTCGAATTTTCATTCAGTCGTCATTTTCCAATAAAAAAAAATGACTAAGAATAGTAATTTTGAAAATTTTAAACGGGAATACTACTTTTTCAAGTAAATCTCTCTCTCTCTACTATATAGTAATACTATATAGTAATAGATTATAGTACCCATAAATCAGACATATAAAATTTTATTGTAATAATTAATCCTTTTTGGACAAAAAATAATAATTAATATTAATGTACAAATAGCATGAGTTCTGTTGAGTTGAAAATTACGAAAAACTAAAATCATCAATTCGTAAAAGTTGTGAATTAATCCATTTGTACTTATCAGCAAAACTCACCTAGGAGTTAAAGGTGGTCGAGGCATGATATGCATACATGATACAAGCGTGTAACATGTTGTGTATATACAAATGCTGAATTTTATGTGAGTGTCATTTTTTATTTTTATTTTTTCGCTTCGCATCGATTTCTCCATCTTATTGACAACGTTCAAACGTTCTATTGAAGGTGCTCTGAAGGGATCAAAATCAAATTGCATGAATATAATTATCCACTTGAAAAGAAATTCGACAAAAACCCAGGAAAATTCAATTACTAAATTCAATTCGACCTGAAAACTGCAAAAACATAGAAAAGTATGTCAAGCCCAAATTGGCTTTTAAGCACTTTTACTAAATTTCTATCGATATATTTATGAAGATATTTATAGATTAATATTTCCTTTATGTATGTAGATATATTCTACTATATTGAAATGTAAAAAGTCATGGAGAGCACAATCAATATTTATAAGAAGGAAAACGAGGAAAGGAATACTGAATGAATGTGTTGACCTTGAAGAAAAGATGAGAAAAGATAATAAATAGAGATATACCCACTAAATTGAGTGAGTAAGGTTGTAGATGAAATATCACAATATATATGATGTTGGGCAGACAAAATCACCCAAAATCCAATATCTAAGATATTTCAAGAAGAAGGAGAAGAGAAAAAGAAATAAAAATAAGACAGACCAAGGTGTTCTTGCAATCGTCGTATTCTGTTAGGTATGCAGACGAGATTCTTTATGACGTAATTGCATATCACATATATGTTTTGAATGAATTGCACAAACATAATAATTATTTGGAAAAAGATTTGTGCAAGATGGATCACAAATACAGAATTGTAATATGTATATATGTACTACGGCATTTTTTTCACTCATCAACTTCAAATATATTTAAAACTGTAAAATATACTCTATAATTTGGGGTAAATAACAATTTTGCTCGGTAATTATTGTGATTGTTCAAAATGCAAACTAATTAATAAAAATTGAGCAGATGTCCTGAAAATGCAAATTATTGGGCAAAAACTATCTATTAACTGATTTTAAAAAAATTGAAAAAATGCTCAGAATGTTCGTAATTTGATTAGTTAACAAATATTCTTTTCAGTCACAAAAATTAATTAGCAATTCGTATGCCTTGAGTTATCGAGTATAATTTGCAATTTTCTCTCTCTCTCTCTCTCTCTCTCTCTCTCTCTCTCTCTCTCTCTTTTCAATGTTTTTGAATCATTCATTCATTACTTATTACACTGATCAGAACTGTGTATTACTATTTACTAGGACAATTTAAATGCTAACCTAGTATGAGCGGGATGAATTGTAATATGCAAAAATATGTAAATCCAATGAATACATCCAAGCCTCAAATTTCAATCCATCCAATAAAACAAAATATTAATAAATAGTTAAATACTGATTAAAAATTCACTTAAAAAAAAGGAGTAAAGCATCTTCAACCCGTGACCCGCCAAATTCGAGCATTTCAAAGCTTCCGCCAAATCCAGCCCGTGAGCTGCCCAATAACCCGACAAAGCTCAGCTCTGTGTGTGTGTGTGTTCTAGTAATGTTCGCTTCGTGAAGAGCAATCATCACACCATGAAAATTGGAGTTCAAACTCCACGAACTATGTAACGCCGCCTTAATTTGCGATTTCGGTCGGCCGCATTTCTTTAAATTTTTGGCTGCTCGCCGGCTGTTCGTCGCCGGCCATGGACCGCAGCCTGAAGCGTTTTCAGTTCCCCTTCCTCCTCCGTCCGCTTTAAATGTACTTCCCCTTTCTCTGTTCACTTTTCTGCAAATTTTTTGTTTGATTTCTGGCCGCTGGGTATTTGCCACCGCGCGCGAACGCAGCCGAGGCGGAGGTTGAAACCCTTAATCAATGTGGGAAAAAGGTCCGACCCATGTCAAATTTCGTAAGTGTCTCTGTATTGCATACATTAATTTCGTGGCACGGGTGACCTTGACGATGAAATGCGAATTGGATTTTGAAATTTTCGGTGACTTTTTCTGGTTGGGTAGTCGTATTCTCATGTTAGGCTAATTTTGTGGACCTAACTTTAATCATGGCAAATCTGCAAAAATGCTGCCTTTTTTGTGTCTAATATTAGGACTAACGATGGCATTTTTGCTGAACAGGTAAAAAAATGGCATTTTTTGTCTGTCTATTAGTTTCTGGACAATAAAGAAACTTTGTGAAGGCTTGCTCATTAATTAAGACAATGATGTCTTAGGTAATACATAGATTGGTATGATAAGGTTTGTTTTAGTGTAAGATTGTTTCTTCATGTGTGTTGAGCAACTTTGTCTTTGGCTCTTAGTAAAGGGCTGTATCAAGGGAAGTAGTTGGCTGAAGCATAACTGTGAGAGTGCTGAGTTTGAGGATTGAAGATGGGATGTAATGAACTGTTTAATGAAGTTATGTATTTTATAAATCAAGCACACTGCATTAACTAGGTAACTTTTAAGATGTTACTCAAATAATGTTATGTTGTTGGGAACTTCTATTGGACCAATTTGTTAACTTGGATAAATATACTATAACTTTGCTGAAATATAGTATACAAGTTAAGGATTACTATATTTTACACACTGAAATAACCGACTGAAACTGTGTAGCGGTAATTAACACTATATTGCTTTTGGATGAAAAGAAACGATTCTTGTCTTTTCTTAATATTNCACGATCACTCCTCAGGAATTGGTTCTTGATGCATATACTATCTGATTGTGTGATGTTTAGGTGCAGCAATTTACTGTTTCAGTTAGTTAGGGGCTCAGCTAAATGTCTAGATTGTTTATGGTGAGAGTTTCGTTTGCCATACCGTTTTCCTGTATTTTCTCAAAAGGCTAAGATTATAACTTGCACATTGTTTTTATAGGACACCATGTTTGGAGCTCTGTCATTCTTATTCGCTTTGGTTTCTTTAATCCTTTCTTTCTCAAATGGCTGTGAAATTGATGAAGATAATATTTTCAATGTCATTGATTATGGAGCCACAAGTGATGGTTATACAGATAATTCAAAGGTAATTGAAAGATCTCATTCAGTAACTTCTTTATATACTTGTATTTCTTTATTCAATTCTACATGTTTTGAATGTCAATTCACTTGTCAATGAAATATATATTTTCGTATATCACTCTAGGCATTTCTAGAAGCATGGGATGCAGCATGCAGCTCCTTAATTGATTCCCCAAGAGTGTACGTTCCACCAGACGGGACATTTTTATTAAACCCCGTCACTTTTCAGGGCCCATGCAATGCACTCAGAATCAGTTTCGTGGTACATAATGTCAATTATTAAAAATAAAAATAAAAAAATCGTGTGCTTATTTGGATTCTTTGCTGATTTTGATTTTGTTATTACAATCTAGATTTCGGGGGTGCTTGTTGCCCCAGATTCACCTAGCTTGTGGGATGGGATGGATGCAAGTCAATGGTTAGGATTTACGGATATCAATGGACTCAGACTTGATGGGTTCGGGTATATTGACGGGCAGGGCCAATCCTGGTGGGACCAGTCATGTAAATACCATCCTGAGTTGGTACATATTTCTATAGCTGGTTCTCCCCATATTATTACACATATGCATTATAATGAAAATTAGCCTTTATATATAAAACTAAATGAGGTACAAAGATAAATAATGCATGTGTGAAATCATTGTTCTTGCGGACTTCCTAACGTTTTCTCCCTTTTTTTTTTCCAGAGACATTGCACCAAAGTGGCTCCGACTGTAAGTACTAATATATTCGTACACTCAGCTTTTTCCTTTGGTTCNCGTACACTCTGCCTTTTGCTTTGGTTCGAGCTTTTTGTTCTAGGACAGCAGAAAGTATGAGATTGATATTAAGTATGTATGGTGAGTAATCTTGATAATCAGGCGTTGAAGTTCCTGGGATGCAAAGATAGCAGTGTTAGCAATTTAAACTTCATAAATAGTGCTCAGACGCACATACTGGTGAGGGGCTGCAATACCTTCGGCATTCAAAATGTGATAATACAGTCGCCAGGGAATAGTCCAAACACTGATGGCATACATATTCAATCATCTCAACAAGTCATCATCTCCGATTCTAGAATAAGCTGCGGTAAGTAGTTTTTTCAGCTAATTGTATTGTTAAAAGTTTTTCATAGGCGCAGATTGGATATGCTGTTCTCAACTCAACCTGTAGCAATCTTATGTCGAAATACATCGAAATGTACATTTAGTTGCAGGTGCCTATACTTAAGCACTCACGTAACTGTACTTAAACTTGTTAACCAAAGTGCTAAGATGTAAGAGCATCTTAAACTTGTTTTCGAAGCGTGGACGAAAATTACAATGTTCAGCCTTTGTTGTAGAAAGAAGATATGGAATCTAAAAATCTATATATATTTTTTGTTTTTTTTTTTTCCTGTGTATTGGCCGGTAATCGAACATCTAACCTGTCAGTTTCTTCATGTGCTCAGGAGATGATTGTATTTCAATTGGTGACCACATTTCTGATATTGAAATCAACAGAATTGAATGCGGACCTGGCCACGGTATTAGGTAGTTGACTTATTCCCTACTTATGCTTCTATTCTTTTTTCGTTTGGCCGGCATAATGCATTCCTAGGTGATTGATTTGTTCGCGCAACACAAAAGCAAAAAAAAGAAAAGGGTTCATAACAAGAAGACAGATATTTTAGCCTTTATTGCACAATGCTAATATTAGAGTATACGATGAAGATTTCAGATGTAGATTACAGTCCTAATCCTGTAAAAGATGAGAAGATTGAAAAAAACCACCAAACAAAGTCAGTTTGCCATAATAGGAAGTCATAAAGCCAAGCAAGAAGATTACATTTGCAGTCAGTTCATTTATGTAAACTAAATTAAATAGGAAATGACTCAAAACTATAGACATTCTTTCGAAAATTATACTTGCCTGACATTTTTAATTTGTTCTTAAAAATGATAAAGCATTGGAAGCTTAGGAAAACGTGGAAATTACGTACAAGTGGAGAAGATTCACGTGGCTGATGCCTTCCTCAATGGAACCTCGAATGGAGCTCGAATCAAATCATGGCAGGTACCCAAATATGATGAACATTGGCTTGTAGGTATACTATTTAACAAATAACTGTAATAATTTTTTTTTCTTTTTTTTTTATGCTTGATATGGAGAAGGTGGGAAGAGGATATGTTCGTGACGTAACTTTTGAAAATCTTAGATTCAACCACGTCAAGAATCCCCTAATCATCGATCAGAACTATTGCAACATCAGGGGCAAATGCAAGGAGCGAGTAAGATGTTAATCACGCATTTATGTATAAATTATGTCACAATCAAAACTAAAGTTTCGAAATTTATTTGAAGGGTATAATGCCTGATTGCTTTGTTAATGATCTTTCATTTAGGAAACTGGAGTTCAAATAAGCAATGTGATTTACAAAGACATAGTTGGGACATCCTCCACTGATATTGCTATTAACTTCAACTGCAGTAAGTCTGTAGCATGCTTTGGAATATCAATGGAGTCCGTATATTTATCGTCAGCGAAAATTGGGAAGCAGGTCACTGCGTATTGTAATAATGCTTATGGTGAAGAAACTGATGTGGTTCCTGGTCCTTGTCTTATTGCTGAATAACTGAATATATATATATATATATATATATATATATATATATATATATATATATATATATATATATATATATATATATATATATATATATATATATATATATATATATATATATATATATATATATATATATATATATATATATATATATATATATATATATATATATATATATATATATATATATATATATATATATATATATATATATATATATATATATATATATATATATATATATATATATATATATATATATATATATATATATATATATATATATATATATATATATATATATATATATATATATATATATATATATATATATATATATATATATATATATATATATATATATATATATATATATATATATATATATATATATATATATATATATATATATATATATATATATATAGGGAGTGGTTCAAATAAAAACTAGTCCTGGTGTGAGAACCGTGAGAACCGTATTTGATGCTAGTTTTTATTGTGTATGATGCTATTTTTAATATCACATGGTGCTATCATTTTCACAAATGCTATTATAAATTGTGTTGCTATTTTTAAGAAAACTAGTAAAGTGCACGTGCACGTGGTATCGAATGATTTTCGCTGAGTAAGCTTATAAAATAAATTAATTTATTTATTAAATATATCATTGCAGGAATGAAATAAAATATAAAACAAATAAATTCATATTTGATTTTTTTTTTATTTTATTTAGAATGATCGTAATGATGTCCTAATATAAAAAGAATGAAATAACGTTTTACAACTCCCAACCAAAATATATAAAAAATAAATCTTTAATACAAAAAACACTAAGATTTTTTTTCATTTCTCATAAGAAACATTCATACTCGTTGGAGTTCAATACATCAATATTATTGCAAAATTTCTCTTAATTCATTTGGCAAAACGCTAATTTTATTCAAACACTTAAGAAACATTTTGACCCAACATATAGTCAAACTTCATGATCTATAATGAGGTACTTCTACTAACAATGCATAAATACCTCTATGAAATAACTAACTGTGTCATTAAAATTGCTGGTATTTTTTATCATTGTATAAACTACTACATTCCTCTGTCTCTAGACATATTGGTGCCTACGGCATTGATGCATCGCCCCACGAGGTGGAAATAAATTTTATCTCTAAATAAAAGTTGACTTTCTAAAATTTTGATACATGTACTTCTCCCGAGGTGTTAAATTATTTTTTGAAATCATCATACATTACCTGAAAGTACCTCTAGAGTAATTGTACATACGTTCGAGTACAATACACCAATGAGATTATAAATATTTTTATAAAAAGTAACAACTTCATTCGAACATTCAAAACTGTTTTGCTACTCCGACATTGTTATTTATTTGGAATATAGACGAACAATATAATCTATTATTTGAAAATTATTGATCATCATGGTTGGTGCAATGATTTTAGAATTGTTTATCATAATATCTTTCACATTCGTTTGAATGTGCAATATTTGTATGCCTAATAACTTCTTTAATGCTTTTATTGTTCAACATTATTCATCATACAAAATGATTATAACATTCAAGATAAATATCATTTCTTTATTCTCCAACAATGACAAAACAAAACAATCAAAACAATGAGAAAATATTGAGAAGCATATCATTTGTTAAAATATTTGATAAAAGAGGAATTAGAATTCTATTATATTACGATACTCTTAGTCATCTGCAAAGTTTATTATTATGGAGTCATAATTAAAATATACATTATGTATTACAAATTTTTGGATTTTTTAATTATTTAAAATTAAAAATAAATAATATAGGATCATTATTTATGAAAACCAATTTCTTACAAAGTCCATATATTTAAACGCTAGCAACAAAAAGTAGTAATTTTCAAAGACTTTTTGTTTGTAAATATTAGTATTCATACTTCTCTAAGAAAATTCACACGTATTCTTTTTCTCATTGTGTTACTATTATATTATTTGTTTCTTATTCTATAGACAAATAATATTTTATTTGCTAAATAATTAAAGCACATTTATATGTATTGCGTTATTTTTTGTATGTGTTTTATATAATGATGTTTTCAAATTATCTTTTTTATTAGGCTACAACTACTATAATCACATAAGATACAATGTAAATTTAATATATTTGATAAAAATGTACTATTTATACGAATTATTAGATTAAAAAGTTTACAATTTTTCCAATGTTTGATAAAATATTAGGTAACTAAGTCATTCTTTTTCAAGCAGTAATTGAATAATAGTTTAACGTACAACTCATTTATTTGTCTTTTTAATTCACATAGCTAATGTTATCTCATTTCCTTTCTCTGGCCTAGTCTTTTCCTTCTTTTATCTATGACTTCACTTTGCTTCTCTTCGTTTGCACCTAATGTGCATTCGCCATAGTTTCAGCATTACGACAAGCCAGTGTCAAATATATATCGGGAATTGACGCTCTAGCCAAAACGTGGGAATAGTTGTAAGTTTACCTCCATTTTTTTATTTATTTTTTAATATGAATTGTTTCAAATCTATGTAAGAAAAATATACCACAAGTTTATTTTATGTTATTTTATACTTAATAAAATTGATTTAACTTGAATAAAAGAATTAATATATACTATAATTTTAGGTCAATTTATTATTTTTAAATTAGTACTGATATATAATATATATGTATGTATATGTGTATATATATAATATATCGATATAAATAATTATATTATTTTTATTTTATTTGCAATATATTGGTCAACTCAAACATTATTGAAAAAAAATGATGTGATATATTACATATAAAAAGAGTAACAAATAAAAAATATGAAGTATTTTAAAATTAAAATATATGTGTATCTTAAATATGTTTTATATTTCTCATTAGCCAGCTTCAATTGATATTGTACATAAAGTAATTTTATCAGTAATTTTACTCTTGGATTTAATGAGAATCATAAGTTTTCTCATCATTCTTACCCCTTATTTAGTTATTATAATAGTAATAAAATAATTAAGGACCTTTCAAAGTATCTTGTTTGTTTTGAAACAAAAATTACTTATTATCATAAATTAAACGACAATTACATTGAATGTGTTATATTTTCTATCATACAGAATTTTCATAATAATAGTTGCACACAATATTATATATAATGCAATTTTTTTTATTTTTATTTTTTTTTTTTTTTAGATTTGGAGTCTTACTTTTACTACGAGAAAATGAAAAAATTCCAACGAAAATTACAACAAGAATATAACGATCTTCTTAAGTTGAATTGAGAAAAATCATGTCTTTTGGTTTCTTAAATATATTTTATCTTATTGTAAGTGTATTGATTTATAAAAATTTATTACAAATGAGAAAGGTGATAGATTATGTAAAGTATAATTTATAAATTGCAATGACATGTTATTTTGATGGTATATTTTTTCTATTAACTAAATAATGCCCCCAATATGAAATTATTTTGAATCTATCACTGCAATTAACTTTCCAATGGAATTTTCATTGAATATTTGCACAATTTCAATGACAGTTTTCCAACGATTGAAATATGGTCCAAAAGAAATTCTAATGGAAATTCAAGTAATTGAAATCTTTAAATCCACTAAATTTCATGTAATTTAATTTGAACTCTATTGGAATAGCCAATGAAATTTTCCAATGAAAGCAATATTATGAAATATTCGTTGGAATTTTTTGTAGAATACCTTACCGTTGTATCCACCACTGCAGGTAGATTTTGAATAGAACTTTTATTGAAATTCTTACTATTCCAGTGGCACTTTTCCAACTGTTGAAATATGACATGAAAAAAATTCAAATGGAAATTCACACAATAATAAGTAATGATAATTGGATTAATTAAATCCACTGAAATTTTAATATAATGTAATTTGATCTCTGTTAGAATAGTCAATAAAATTTTACAATGACAGCTATACGAATAAAATATCATTTGAGATTTTCAGTGGATGTCTTACCGTTGGATTTTTCATTGCAATGTACCATTTTTTATTCCTTTATAAATTATATTTTTTATGTAGGAGTTTTTGTTATTAATTAGATGTATTTATAATTTTTCTATTAAAAATATATTAAACACATGAACTTTTTAATCCATATACTTTTTAAAAATCACTCATTATTTTATCGCAAGACTACCTATTAACTTATCAATTGAGTTACATTTCATGTACATTAAATATCAAATAATAAAAAGTATTATTGCATATATATAATATGGTATTTATATATTATATTAAAAAACTAATAGAAAATAAAACGTTATTTAAAATCAAAATTATCAAAGCTTTTTTTAACAAAATAAAAATAAATTTCTAACCTACATGGATAGTATAAATAACTATTGTCTATCGTCTAAAATTTATACATTGAACTAATAAGCGCAAAAATTTAAAATGTGGTGAACAATTTGGCTCGTTTACATCGATAAGTACAAATTTAAAAGGTCAACAATTACTTTTACTAATTATAATATTTTTATTTATTACTTTTTTTCATAGTTATTAGTAAGTGTTACAACTTAATTATAAATTTAATATTATTTATTAGATTTATAATTTTTTTAACTTTAAACTGTTCTTTCATATGTATTATAATATATGTGTGTGTGTGTATATATAACTTTTAGGTTTGTTAAAAAATACATAAAATTAAAGTACAACACTTTTTTGAATCATATGTCTTATTTTACATCTTTATATTATATTATATATAATTATAATCTTCTCATTTATAGTCAAATATATAAATTTTTTATTTCGTACATTTTTTCTTAAAATCCATTTTATTATAATAACACATATTAATAGATAGATGAGTAATGATAATATATGAATATAATTTTTTGATTAGAATTAATTACTTTTTAACATGTAAATCATATCATGATTCTCGAGATATTTTTAATTAATTTGTAAATATTTATATGGTTAAAATTAATCCATATTGCTAACGTGGTATCTCATTTGACGTGAAAACAAATAGATTAAGTTTTAGTATTATACAATTTCATAAAATTGTTATGGTCTTTTGTACCGAAGAAATTGAATTGATTAGAAGTTTAGATTGCAGAACAATCATTCAACAATTAATCTCGCATACTATTACACATTTTGTATAGGTTATTTTGAAAATAATGTTTCTATACTTTGTGGTTGTTATGAGAAAAACAATATCGATTTCTAGTTTTATAAGTGTTTATTATGCTTTTTTGTTGGATCAATTTTAATTTCTTTAAAGAACTTTTATATATTAGAGCTATGAATGTGATTACAATAGTATCATTAAAATTATATTAAAAATAATGACGTTTTTCAAAACAACAATTCTATATCCTATCAAACAGTTTTAGAGATATGTGGAAGAAAACAAATTCGTGAGAAATAATGGTGTCAAACCAACATATTGTAGTTGATTTTAGGACTGTGGAATGATTTGTGCATGTATTTGTATTTAATTAATTAAATATTAATTATAATTAAAAATATAAAATATGATGGACATTAGTTTATTACTAATTTGCCATTAAAAACATGTCAAAGTAAGGATTTTTTAGGTAATTCATTTTTATATTTAAAAATATAAAATATGATGTGTATTAGTGTATTACTAATTTGCCACTAAAAATATGCCAAAGTAAGGGTTTTTTAGGTAGTTCATATTTTTACAAAAACACTCGTCCTTTTAGAGTAGTATAGATAGATAAATCAATGTTAAAAATAGCATTAAAACACAATAAATCATAGCACTACTTGCAACTATAAATAGCGGTTCTCACGCTAGAACTTGGTTCTCATTTGAACCACATCCTATATATATATATAGAACTTGGTTCCCAAATCTTGTGCTTTTTTTTTTTTTTTTTTTTTTTTTGACAAGNATAAAATTATATTTGCTGATTATGGAGAGCCTTTGAGAAATTCACATTGAATGTGCTGGAAATTTATAATCAACATTTGGAGTTGATGATGTTAGAATTTTGAATTTCTTGATACTGTGTGCTTCACTCAAATGCCCCTTGCAAGACATGTTGGAGCCTGACATGCCACTCTTTGTGGATTAAACTACGAATGACCTGGACAAGTGCATCATGAATTCCAAACATCAATCCGGGCCCAAGGATCATTGTCGTCACACATTGGCTATCATCCCGGAGAAGGCCTCCCGCAACTTCGGCAATAACCTGGCGGTAGCCCCGGTCCCAAGCCAGTTGAAGACCTTGAAACAAACCCCAGAGTTCATCCCATGTGATAGTGTTAAAGCCGATATTCATTAAAAACCCCTCGATCCATCTTCCGGCCTCATCCCGGAGAAGGCCTCCCGCACTACTTAGGCTCGTGCTGCTTTGAAAAGCTCCATCTGTATTCACTTTGACCCATCCCGACTCAGGCGGGCACCATCTTATCAAACGCATGACGTGAATGTGGGCTCCCACCTTTCGAAAAGCTTCGAACGCTCGGCCATAGGACTCGGTCAGTCTCAATACCTCCAGACCTCTAAATTCACCACTATAAGATCGGTGGTTAAATATGAGGTCATTCCTCCACCTCCACGTACACCAGGCTGCATGGGCGAATATACTATTCCAATTAGCGCCCGGTCCCACCTTTGCCTTTGCCAGATTGTACTCGATCAGCATTTGAGCGGCTGTTGGAAAAAGGTCCCGCTTATTTCCCTCGGTAGCAGTCGAGTCCACAAAGATTTCGCAATAGGGCAATCGCGTAACACGTGCAACACCGACTCGTCTTCTCCACAAAAATCACAGGCCGCCGAGTGTGAGATATGCCGGCGCACTCGTTCCAAATTGTTCAGCTCTGGCCGTGAGCCACAAAAAATTACGGGTCCTTTGCGAGGCCGGTGCTCTCCAAATAAGTTTCCATAGGGATTGATCAGAATCTATCGTCGGAGAGTGCAGACCTTTGTAGGCCGTGCGTGTAGAGAAAATACCATCATGTGATAGTCCCCACATAATTTTATCCTCGCTGGCCGATTCTCTAGGAGGTAGGGATCCGGCAATGCGCATCACTATGGTGGATGGGAGAAACCCATGGAACAAGTCCCACTTCCAGTTACCGCGCTCGTCAACAAAGGCCGCCACTTTCGAGTGTAGGGTGGCTTCCGGTGGCTGACTGGTCACGTATCTTACCAACGGCCCGGCCGTGCCTAACCAAGGGTCCAGCCAAAAGCGAGAAGTTTCACCATTGCCTATAACTCCACTGTATACCTTTAACTATTTCGGGCCAAATTTGATTGAGAGCTCTCATTAGACTCGACCCTTACCTGTTATGGAGAGTGTCCAGCCAAGACGATAGATTGATGCCGTATTTTTCCGTCAAGACCCTCACCCAGAGAGAATCTCGCTTCGTTAAAATCCCCTATCTCAGCTTCATTAGAAGGGGGGTATTCATGCGGCGCATGTCCTTTAATCCCAGGCCACCTTCACCTTTAGGCTTACAAACATCCTTCCACGTGACCAAGTGTAGCTTCCTCCGCTCTTCTGATCCACCCCACACAAAGGCTCGGCTTCGTTTTTCAATTCCGTCTATGGTTGCACACGGTAGCTTGGCCGATTGCATTGAGTAGTAGGGCAGTGAGTTAAGGACCGATTGGGTAAGTGTAACTCGCCCGGCCATCGACAATGACTTCATTCGCCATCCAGCAAGGCGTGACTCGGTTTTCTCCAGAATATGGGCATAGGTGAGTTTGGTCACTCTGCCGTGGAGCATGGGCATGCCTAGGTATTTACCCAGATTATCTGTCCACTTGAACCCAAAAGAATCCGCTAGTCTACGTTGTTCATCGATCCCTACATTGTTGGAAAACCAGACTAACGTTTTTTCCGAGCTAACTCGCAATCCCGAGATATTACAAAAATGCTCAAGAACATCCTCAGGACCAGCGCTTGCAGCCGAAGACAATCTGAAGGCTGCTGGAGAGGCATCTTAATCAGCTAAGGGGGTTAAGGCGCTGGCCGCCGCCGTCGCGTTGGAAGAGGCTATGATGGCGGAATCGGCGATGAAAGTGGCCGCTGCAGCTAGGACGGTTGTGAAATTGGCAAAATATGTCGTAAAAGCTCCATAGAGATCGAGTTAGGATGGTGAGCTGGCTCTGGAGTTGGAAAAGGTTTTTCTGGAAGATGCTATCGAGTCAGCGGAGCTATTGGCAGAGAAAGTGGATGCCTTGGCCGCCACCTTCGCGAAGAATCAGGCCATTTTGAGTGCAGAAGCTGAGAAAGCGACAGCCGTCACTGGTATATACTTATATATATATATATATATATATATATATATATTTATATGAAAAAAATAATATATATATATATATAGGGTCACGCTCCGGTGAGAATGACCCTTAATGCGAGAAATAGGAATAAATTATAGCCATTAGATATTGTAATTAACAACACCAAAAAATAGTAGGACCTACAGACACCACACCCCAACTGCACGACACGTCACCCACTCACCCCTCCCTCCTTAACTCTCTCTCTCCTCATTAACTTTCTCTCTAATTGATTCATTACTTTTGTCTCTCACACACATTCCCCGTCAAACACACACACCCCACAGTCACACACAGTTCCGCCGGCAGCCCGTCACCTTGTGTGACAGACGGACACCACGACGGCGCCGTCGCCAAGAATCCCGCCGGCATCGCGCCTGTCCGACGTCCGCAACTACAGTCCGCCGTATGCCGCCCCCCCGCCGGAAATGGTGAGCTCCGGTACAACGCCGTTCGTCTCGCCGTCGATTCCACCTTCTTCGGCGGCCTCCATGTAGCAATTCATATCCGCTAGATTTCCGTCGCGGAGGCCGGCACCATGTCCGCCGCTCCTGATCCACCGCCGCACCTTTCTCTCTCTGCCCGACCTCTGCCGTGCTCCTCCATGTCTCGCCACTGACCAGCTCCATCTTCCGCCTCCCGCCGGCGTCGCCGTCCATGTCCACGGTTGTTCATCCTCACCCGCTATTTCCGGCGACACGGCCGTACCTGCTCTTCCCGCCGCCATCTCTGTCCATCTCGGAAATTAAGGCTGTGAAGATGAGATGGACATTTTATTTGGGACATTTTTTTGTGAATTAGACAATTTTAAGGGACATGTTTGCAATATAGAAAATTTGAACTACACATGTATTAAATATTACAATTTAATAGGTGTAATGGGTTGGTGGGTTGAGGCTTTCAAGACTTTAATGGACTCTTTATGTTAATTTAAACTATCATATTTAATGCTATTTATATATTATAGTTGTATATATATTAAGTAGTTTGAAAAAAGCAATAAAATGATATATTATATAGAAAATATAAATACCAAATATATTTTTATTATATAAATAAATTGATAATACACATTATGTTAATTGAAAATATTATTACAAATTTTTAAATTGAAATGCACATTATTCATAGGTTTCAATTAGGTTGGAAAAAAGTTCGGTCCTTTCACATTGTACAATAGCGGAGAAAATTGTGCAGAGTAGTGTTTGACAAATTGCACTTTAATGATTGACGTGTTGCACTTTTATTCTCGTGAGATTGCACTAAATTCTTTTATTCGAGCTTTTTTTATATGTCGGTCCAATAATTTATTTTTTACTTTTAAATTTCAATTATATCGGTTCGATGTCGACTTTATATTTTAATTTTTTTATATATATTGTTCATTTTTAACGAAGAATACTCTAAAGTATTAAATAAAAATAATAAATAGCAAATATATTGTCATAGAAAATATTTACATTTCGAGTGCACATTATTGTTGGAGAGATTGCACATTAATAATTGTCATATTGCACTATAGCAACTTAAATATATAAACAAATTATATGTATATATTTTAGGTCTTTACAACTAAAAAATATTAAATAAAAATATTAAAAACACTAAATATATTTTTATAATATAATTATAAATTATTATTTTTATTTAGGTTATTTCAGTTAACTGATCAAATAAATCGAATATCTCGATTTGAACTTAGTTTGGGACGAATCATTAAAAAAACATTTGTACTTTGAATGCACATTATGATAGACACAATGCAGATTATTGATTGTCAAATTGCACATAGCGACCAAACCGACCGAACTAGTTGAGTTAATTTGATGTACAGTTATATATACTAAAATATAGTTTTCAAGAAACAAATACTTTATATGTGATCATATAAAGTAGTGCACTTTATATATCAGAATATTGCACTTTATAAAATAACACATTGCACTTTATAAAACAATAAATTGCACTTTATCACCACACTCCACAGTTAACATCAACAGCTCCTGCCAAAATACCACACAATATAAATCTTAACAACGGATGTACGTAACACTTTAACATCAATCACATCAGTTATCCACACAAAACACAAACATGATAATGTACCAAAATTACAGTACTTCACTTTATACATCAACACGTGGCACTTTATAAAATAACACGTTGCATTTTATAAAATAATACGTTGCACTTTACATAACAACACGCTACACATTATGATGACTATCATATTGTGCAAAAGAGCTCGAAACCAACCGAACACAATTTTTTCTGACAAAAAATAATATAAAAATAATAAATAAATTATTAACATATTAAATATATTTATCATATTAAATAGAGAACAACCGACCGATATAAAACTTTCATTTCAATTTTTTTTTTTNNNNA